CAAGACATCCTGTCCGGAGGCGAGATGAGAAGGCAGAAAGGGATAGGAACTGTTTGAATGGACATGGGAAATCCGGGTGGAAAGGAGGAATGTGTGGTCACATTATAGGGACAGCAACTAGGGTCACATAACAACGTGAGTATAAAGTTTTGTATGAGAAACTAACTTGAGCTGTAAACTTTCACCTAAAGCAAATAATAATTTTTTAAAAAAAACTAAAAATTCACAACACAGTGGTGGACTAGATATGGAGGGAGGTGGCTGAGGAAGGAGTCAAGGATATTGGCTGTTTTTGGCTTGCACAACTGGATAGTGGAGGTGCTGGTCACTGAGATGAGGAACACTACAAGTGCAATAAGTATTTTTGAGGGAAGATCGTGAGTTAGACATTAAGTTAGTTAGCATCTGACATTAGTAAATTGAGATACTGATGTATGGGCCTGAAGTTCACGGCTGCTGCACTAAAGACACAAATCTGGGAGTGATCTGGGTACCAGTGGTAATTAAAGCAAGGGTATGGATGAGATGACTTACAGAGACCAGACAGAGAAGAAAGGGTAGCCTAGAACCAAGTCTTGAGGAACTCCTAAATTTTATGGGTGGGTAGAACAGGAAAAGTCAGTGATCTATACTGACAAGAAGTGGTTAGTCAAATAGGGTGAAGTCAAGAAAATCAGGGAAAGAGAATGTTTCAAGGAGGAGAGTAGATAACAATGTCAAAGGAGTAAGATAAGGGCTAGAAATGTTCTTTAGGTGTGATGGTTAAGATTGTGTGTCAACTCAGCTGGGCCATGATTCTCAGGGTTTTAATGTAATCACTCCCATGATTGAATATACTGTGAGTAGCCAATCAGATGAAAGGGAGTCTCCTTGGGGGTGTGGCCCACATCTGTATATAAGCAGACGTTCTGGCTTTTTGCTCTCTCTGGATCCTGCGGCTGCTTCCTGTCATCTCATCTCCCGTTCTTGGGACTTGAGCTATCAGCTTATCTGCCGAACCTGGGATTCGTCGACCTGCACAGCCTGTGAGTGGGAGCCTGGTCTCTGACCTGCCGGTCTTGGGCTTGCCAGCTTCTGCAGCTGTGTGAGTTGGGAGAGGCCTCTACCCTGATCCACGGACTAGGGACGTTCTAGCCTCTACAATTGCGTGAGCTGTTTCCTTGATATAATCTCCTCTCTCTCTATATATATATGTATACACTTTACTGGTTTTGCTTTTCTAGAGAACCCAGCCTAAGACATTTGGTACCGGGAGTGGTTCTAGAGAAACAAAATTGTAAGGATGAGTTTTCTAAATTTGTTCTCAAGTCTGGTTAGTCATAAAGACGTTGATGACTCTGCTTCTAGCAGTAAAGAGGTCACTGCTAGTCCATGGAGCGAGGTGGCGATACAAATACGCAAAATATCACCACCGGTAGATCATGTATGGGTGAAAGGTGAGGCCCAGGGTGAACACATGTGTGATATCTTTCTACAGCTTTGTCAGAATGAGAAGTATAAGGAAGCTGGTTGGTTTGTCCTACTTTCGCTAGACAAACTGATGAACGAAAGTGATGCACTCAGGGCTTGAGAGTCAAGGCTCAAGTGCCGCATAAATGACCTCAAGGCTTCCACTTGTGCGTTGAAAGAAAGCCTAATTTCTTGTAGTAACAGAGCCGAAATTGCTGAAAACCAAACCCAGACTCTTACTGTAAGAGTGGCTGAATTACAATGCCAGCTCGATTGCAAATCTCGAGAGGTGTATGAAGTTAAAGTAAGGGCACTGATTGGGAAAAGATGGGATCTTGAGACTTGGGATGGGGATATATGGGCAGATAATCAGGAAGCTGGGGACACTGAGCCTGTAAATTCTGTTGAATCACTCCTGCCAGCAGAACCAGTCCCATCTGAAGAGATTACTTCATGTTTGTCTGCTAAACCACCCTGCCCAGAAAAAGCATTAGCTCCTCCACTCCCATCTGAGGAGATTAGCCCTAGCCCAGATGCCTCAAAGAGCACTTGCCTGAGTCATTGCCTGGAGCATCGCCTGAGGCAGATGCTTTACAAGATAATGCTGAATGTTCTCAAAACAATTCCACACTACCAATTCTGGCTTCTAGACCTATAACTAGGCTTAAGTCCCAATGAGCCCCAAAAGGTGACCCAGGAGAAGGTACGCTACACTCCAAAAGAACTACTGGAGTTTTCTAATATGTACAAACAGAAACCAGGGGAATATGTGTGGGAATGGCTATTAAGGGTGTGGGATAATGGTGCAAGGAACATAAAGATGGATCAGTCTGAGTTTATTG